GAGAAAGCAAGTCTAGCCGCGTTGTCCAGAGACACGAACTTCGCAGTTCCTCGAAGTAGATCTGTTAGTGGTCTCATGACAGAGGCACAGTTAGGGATAAACCTTCGGTAATAACTTACCAGGCCATTGAAAGTGCGGAGATGTTTCACAGTGGTCGGCTCTGGATAGTTTGTGATAGCCGCCACTTTATCTCTCAATGGGCGTATACCTTTGTTGTCAATGGTATGCCCAAGGAAGCTGAGTGATTCAACTCCTATTTCACACTTCTGTAAGTTAACTGTGATGCCATGTTTTTGAGTCTTTCGAATGCGAGGTCCAAATGTTTAAGGTGAGTTTCCTTATCTGGACTCGCAATTAGACAGTCATCGATGTAGACATGAACAAAATTCAGACCACGGAAGACATCGTCCATAAAGCGTTGGAATGTTTGTGCTGCATTCCGAAGACCAAATGGCATGCGCAGGAATTCAAACAGGCCAAAAGGAGTAATAATGGCTGTTTTCGCGATATCTTCTGCTGCCATAGGTATCTGGTTGTACGCTTTGACCAAGTCGATTTAGGAGAAAATGTTCATTCCGCATTGGGTTGCAGTTAACTCGTTGACGTGAGGTATCGGGTAGCAGTCGGGTGTTGTTTTGGCGTTAAGCCTTCGGTAATCACCGACTGGACGCCAGTCGATGCTGTCCTTTTTGGGAACCACGTGCAATGGTGATGTTCAAGGACTGTTTGACGGTTTGATAATGCCCAGTTCAAGCATGTGGTCGAATTCACCCTTCGCCGTTTGAGTTTATCGGGGCTAGACGGCATGTTTTGGATGCTACAGGTGGACCTGTGGTTGCGATGAGGTGCATAACATTGCTGGTTATGCACGGAAGAGTATGCTTCGGTTGCTGCAACTCTGGATATTTCTCGAAAACTGCCTGGTGGGGCGCGTTGCCTAGTTGTTTGGTTATAACGAGGGCTAAACTCGGACCTACATAGGTGGTGCCGCCAATAGATAACTTTGTGTTGTTATCTATCAGACGTCGACGGCGAGCATCTACGAATAAATCGTGATGGTTTAGCAAATCTATGCCAATGATGGGCATAGAAACGTCAGCTAGGAGGAAAATCTAGTGAACAGGTTTACGTAGACCTAAGTTGAGGTAGGCATACTGTCTCCCGAATGTCGCGATTGCCTTGCCGTTGGCTGCTTGGAGATTGAAGGATGGGTCATGATGATGCCCCTTTGTTGGTGCGGGAAGAACGCTAACTTCTGCGCCGGTGTCGACGAGGCAGCGAACTTTCGTTTTAACATCCGTGACGTAGAGCGAACGGCCGTTTCCTCCGGCTACGGTTGCCATGACCACGTGCCGGCGTGACAGTTTCCCGAGTTTGTGTCCTTCTTAAAACTGCAAGGTTCCCGACATTTTCTGGCTTCGTCTCCGTAAGTATTATGAAACCAGCACCATTCAGGGTTTTCCACCCTGTTAGGTTTAGTTTCGGGGCTACCACGCGATTTGCTGCGATGCCCTGAGACGCGTTTCTGTGGAGTTCTACGTGAACCAGTACTTCGAGATCGTAGCAACTGTTTAACAGAGTTGCACAGTTTGGTCGCCTCTGAATCCTGTCTCTCGGGTTTGACGCAGACGGAATGTACGTTGGAGACGGGTCTGCTAGAAATCTTCGGTTGTCTATCTGCCGAGGCTGTCAGGTCATCGAGTGGGACTGACTACAGTGTCACCAACATGGTCTGCACCGATTGTGTAGTTTCGAGAGAAACAGTTCTCGGAAAAGGAGATTGTGGAATGTTCGTGCACCCACAACTCCTCGCATGCATGCGAGGACTTCAGTAGCTGAGTGGCTGCCCAGCTAGACGTTACGAAGTAATTCGTCTAGGCGCTGGCGATCTGTGAGGTCGCTTTTCTTGAATAGTGCGGCCTTGAGAAGTGCATAAGGACCACTTACTTCAGGTCTAAACATGCGTGCCGTAGCCTGTCTATTTAATTCCCGCGGTGGTGGACGTGTGACGGCGAGAAATCGAAAATGAGGATCTGAGACACCCTGCTCTCAAAAATCTGTCTCGGCATACAGAAACCACCTTTCTGCATTGTCTGGCCAATATGGCATGAGTTGGATCGTGTTCGTAGTTGGCCTAATACGAATGAGCTTGAGAGTATGGTCGGACATGAGAAAGTGTAGTAAATGGATGTATAAATGTTATCGAAATGAAAACAATATACAAAATATAAAATGGAACAGGCTCACCAATTCAGTATTTGCTATTGGTCGGGATATGTGATCACGTCAGGCTCACCAATTTAGTATTTGTCCTTGTGCAAACGTGGCAGACACAAAGACCAACCACTAATTACTCGGACTTGTTATGTACCCAGGAATATGAGACCAAGGAAGAACACGATAGTATAGCTGGATGGAATAGTACATTTTGGTGGTCGTGCCGAGATACCGATGCGTTCCAACTAACTGTCTAGAGAGTCGAATACAAGCGGTGCAACGTAACACGACAGCGTGCCAAATGGAGAGGATGCTTGACCTGGTGCCTTCAGCTTAGCGAGTCCAGTTAAACTATCAGTGTCAGCATCAACGTTGAATCTCGCCAAACCCCAGGCTGTCGATTTTGGGGAAGTGTGTGATGCTACAGTGACATCACTGTCCACTTAGAAAGGTATCCTTCACATTTAGAATTCAAGTTTGTGTAAGATCACAAAGAAGTGAATACTATTATTCCAAAGTACTCACAGGTCTTTAGCTTTTGTTCGCATATTGCTAAGGCTGTCCAACAACTAACTGGAAATCTGACTTCAAATTCAGCTTAAAGCCCAATATCCAGGTTCTTTCACGGGCTTTAACTAGATGAAGGATAATACTTTCATCAAAAAGTGTGGTTTGTTTTCGTTTCATTTTGCTATCTTTTGTAATTTGTACCTCTTGTATGAATGCCGTGCGAAGTCTTATGTCTTTAACTTTTTGACATCCTCTCACTCAATATTTCAACTTTTTTTGCCGTTATCCATAAGTTTTCGGCTCGTAACTGTAATACCTTTAAATGTTTGTATATACTCAGAAGAGGGGTTTAGCTAAAAGTCATCTTCATACATAAAAGCGTTCTGTGTGAAAATGTGTATTTTCTGTGTTTCATATACATATATGCTGAAGTGCAAACTGCAATCACAGATCTTTTTATCTGCAGTTTGAAGCTTCAACTATCTCGCCATATTCTGAAAGTATCCTTCATCCTAAAAAGCTGTGTTTACTTTCTGCCCGAAAAGTGGAACTGCAGTAAATAATCTTCACATGAACAAATGGCATGAAACATGATTCAGTGACAAGCTTCACTACAAATATATATATATATATATATATATATATATATATATATATATATATATATATATATATATAAACAAATTATTCACATGGGACACAGAAAATATTCGTGTTTTCACGAAGAACCCTGCAACCTATGTCTAACGCATTCGAAACCTTAGTAATTCACCTTCCAGCTTTGATTTATAGACTGGTTCATCTCTTCGTTGTCAAGCTCTACCGTTTGTCGGTTATCTTTTATTATTAAATGTACTTCTTGAGTCGTGGGCCCACATTTTTCTCTTCCAGATTCTAGTGAGCACTACTGAACTCGCACTGCTCCACTCTCCCCCTGTAGAAACGCACGTACCTACCTAAAAGCCAGGCGAAAACCTACCAGCAGCTGGTCGTTACAATGACAAGTACGATAACACCTCGGGATGACTTTTAGCCTTACTCTGGAAGAGACATAGGGCAGAAGGAAACATGTATTTTGCATGAAAATGTACTCTTACCCCACACAAACAACGTGTACATGCATATTCAAGAACAAACAAGCTATCGATTCCTCACTTCCTCAGGCAAGTCATCCACTTATTCAAAGGAGAATTTTTCAGTTTTTACTATTTTATCCCATTAGGTTCTAACTTCACCCGCAAATAAGTCAGACTGATTAATGCACGAATAGACACAGGTGTGTTATAGTCATATTTGGTTTTTCTACATTTCATCATAATACTTTCCGTAGTACCGTCAGCATTGTATTCATCACATGATGTGCATTTTACAAATGTGACTAAGCAGCGAAGAAACTGTATAAGATTCCAAGACAGGATTGGGATGGAGAGTCCGGTTTTGTCTGATGGAAGAAATAAATCATAGTAAAGACATCCAGTGAGGTTTTCTTTATGATTTCAAATTCCTTCAGCATACTGTTAGGAAAATGTGTGCATCCTAGAGTTTTCAGCAAATGCAAGATGAAAAATAGCAGTTAAACAAATGAATGTGAGATAAGGTCTTTTCACTGTCATCCAGGTTCTTCAATAATGATATCGGTAAAAATTTTCTTTTCTTGCTTCTTTTAGCTCTAGTAACTGTCCTTTCATATTGGTTCTGTCAGTTTCAAAGTTGTCATGTAAGGAAAGCCTGGAGCTGTGCAATCGGAAGTAAATGATATGTTAGCAATAGCTGTTTACCCATAGACTTCAGTTATGTAATGGATGACCCTAACACTAGTTGAGAACTGTCTGATTGTTATCCCTTCAGTCGCTCTTCATTGGTTGGTAGAAATAAATTTCTGTTGTCTGATTATCTTGGTTTCCACTACAACTGAGACTAAGAGGTTGAGGCATATGGGGTTTTAGATCATGAGCCTGTCCCTGTTGCTTGATGAAACTTAGAAAACTACTCCGTAAGCCTCATGCCAAACACCGATTGAGAGTTCTGTCTGCATGTACCAGAAAAGATCGTACAATCATCATCCGCCTAACTGATCCGCTGCAAGGGTGTTTACATTCGGTCGGTCTTGTATTACTTCATAGCTTCAGTACACCGAAAACTTTCTTTCTTTATTATGTATGGCTAACGTACTGACAAGTAATGCAAGTTGAATAGTGACTTGAACAATACGTCAACAACATTTATACAATCCCTTTACTCCCCCTTGAATATTAGATAAAAACAGGAATGCATAAAAACATTTTAAAGGTTATAATAAAGTAATTTTAAATGACAAGCAAAAAAACGAATATAATAATGTTGATAATATGCGGCAAAATCTAATCTCTTCACAGACTATAGTTATTTTTGCCTATACAAATAATCCATGCATAACCTTTTCATTTTCCAAAACCCCATCATCATCTCTATGCATTTGTAAGCTGTAATTTAGGCAATTCAGATAAAATTTCATCCATCTGTATAAAAAGAGAGTAGATAAAATTAGGTGAAACTTAAAAATTACTCTTACCAATACTGGTGAATCTATTGATTTAGCGTTGTCATTTTTTGCTTCCAATACTTCTGATTTATGGCTACATTTTTCTAAAGACTATGACATTGTTAGAAATTTTTTTGTTAAAAAATTACTTATAGACTAACCTGATCTGTTTCTTCATCTGTTTCTTTTCTAAGCTCTGGTGAATCACCACTAGGATCTACTTTTGGCTAGTAAACAGAAGACAGCATATTGAAAGATAATTTAGGATACAGTGATTTTGATTAAATTAAGAATTCTTCCAAATTCTTACCCATGTTTTGAGCTGTTAATTTATTGATCGAATACTTTTTCTAACTAATGTGTGATATTTCATACAACTTACAAAACAAACTGTAGTAGTTTGGTCTGAAAGATGAGTGCGGCTTTCAAAACAGTACATCTTTTAAGGAAGTGAGGTTTAAGAAAGTAAGTTTTAAAGTAGTTATCGATAAACTTCGTCAAGGGGAACATCTTCATTAACAAAACCCACTTAAGGTTCTAACTTATATTACGCATTGTCGGCAATCGAAAGTGGTTAGTAATACATTCTGACTTAGTGATTGAGAGGTAACGTATTATGCCAAAAAAATCAGGATTATGAAATTTAAATGATCACAAAAGATGCTTATTTTATGAAATAGTTTGCACTTTTCATTCAGTGTTTCACTAAAAATCGCTCAAGTTCAAACAGTCTGCTTAAAACTTGTCGAAAATATCGTCATCTCGAATTGGTCTATTTAATTCTTGTCAATGGTTTGGTGTTGTTCGAGCTTCAATATTTGTTCACGGATGTTTCGTTATCAGTCTTGATAATATCATTTGCACTAATTCATACAACTCATCTTGATAATTACTGCTATTGATATGATGGAACATTTACAATCAAATATCATAGTTCAAAGAATATCAAACCATTGGAATACTCATGCTAAGCTACAAATTCCATCTTGTGGTATCGTAGACAAAAATATTAAGTTGGTTGATATATTGTGACTACCGGTGCCAACATTCAAAAAACCTCATTTACGCTCAGTAGCAAATGTTTGTTTAGTGAAGTAAAACATTGCAAACAAAAATAAATACAATATTATTCAATATACAATGGTAAAAGAGAGAACTGATGATTAACTTACTGCTGTTCTCTCAGAAGTTTTTATCGACTGTTTTTTATTTTGTCCATTTGTCTGTGGTTGAAACGTAAGCGTTTGATAAGTTGTTTTTATATAGCTTACCATATTATTTTCTTTTCCTGTGGGTTGTATTTCTTCGTTAGACTCAAATGTAGATTTTTCAAATGCATTCGTACTTATTATTTCGTTTGCTTTTTCATTCGATGAAATTGTTTTATCTTGCATCGATTTTTCTGTTTTCTTTTGAATTGATAGTTTTTTAGATTCTTTACATCTTTGTATAGAGGAAATGTTGGGATTAATAGTATAACAACCTCGTCTAGAGTTAAACAGTAATCTACCATGGATACTTCGATATCGTCTTATATAAGGATATGGTAAGGATAATACTGGTGGCTCGAAACGACGACCAATACTACATGGCACAAGTGGATAACGTGGATGCGAAGCAATTGTATTGGAAAAGTTGGAATTTTTGCTTACTATGTGAAACCGATTAAAATGGTTGGCATTAGGTTTATAAATATTAGGAAGTCTTCTTTTCCACTGATAAGCTCCCCGGCTATAACCACATAATAGTGGTGGTCCATAATAGCGTCCACGATATGCTAATGGCTAGATTAGATGAATATGAGAATCACGAAATAAGAGAATGTCACATATTCTCCAAAATACAAAAGTAGATAACGTTATCGGTCTTAAGAGTGAGGCTAAAAGTTATCTTCAAGTGTAATAGTGTTGAGTGTGAAAATAGGTATTCTTTGTGTTTTGTAAGGATATATTTTGAAAACTGCAACTATAAGTCCGTTTTCCTAAAATTTGAAAGCTCAGTTGAATCACTTTGATTTATGAGCATCATTCCTCATAAATAAATGTTCTCATATCCCAACTAGGAGATGGAATTGCAACCAATACTTTGGACGTGAATAAACGGCATGAAACATGATTCAATAACAGAGGGGGTCTTACAAACTATGCCAATGGATAAAATATGCACACATCATAAATGATGTAGGCGAATTTGCGCACAGAATACTGTTTCCAATAAAAAGCAGAATAACACCCAGGGATAACTTTCAACCTCAATTCTGCCTTAAATCCGGTGATTTTCAAACTAACCGGGAAATAAATAATCTGACTTCTTGAAAATGAAAATACATTATTTTCTCTAAATTTTAGTTACTGGTAAAAACATAGTCTGAAATATAGCTTTAAGAAAACTAGGCATCTAGACAAATAGTGACAACCAAGTAATTTGCCATTCACAATATGTTTAATAATATTGTTTTTAGTGTTTATGACTATGAGTCGTAGACCTTGTTGTACTTGGGTTGGTGGCTTAATTGCTGGACACCAATTACTCACTTCAAAAAAACAAAATAAACATTAGTGGCTTTAATTTCACTCTTTTCTTACTAATAAGGCAATAAACAAAAGCCATTACAATGTGTCAAGCTTCACCTTCAAGGGTAGCAAGAAAGGATTCAGAATCCGCAATCGAATTATACTCCAGTGGAGTATCGGTTCTCCCCTAGAATGGTCAGTGACTGGAGATGCTGACTGATACAAGAGGTAGCAGGTGCTTTGATGAATAAATTCAAGGAAAAACTGAATCTTCATAGAGATAAGTATTGAAAGAATTAACGAAGGCTAAAAAGTTTATTATTCGTTTTCCGGAAATATGTTTGTTAAAGTTTGACAGTGAAGTGAGGATATTCTGTTTATTAAGTGAGTATAAAAATAATAGTATTTTCAGTTATAACATCTACTTCAGTAATTAGTGAGTCATTTATTAAATTAATAAATACTTCTGAAATAGAGAAGTGAGAAGTGTCTAAAAGACATCATAAAGTTTCCTTTATCTTTTTCCAAATGATTTTTCAGTAAGCACTTACAAATATTAACGCAAATCATGTCCGGTTTACAATCATTGTTGTTGGGTTTGTGGTATATATTTCAGTATTATAAACTTTAAAATTCCACATTAAAACGTTAGTGCCATTAAAAGCTGTAATTGTAACACAGTAGAAGATTAAATTCGAACACTTTGGTGTAATGACTGTCCACTTCATGCCACTTAAAAACATCCCAAGCAGAATTAAAGCCCTGGAGAGAGAAGTCGACATCGAAAGCAGCTGCTTAACTATATATGTTAATATCGGAAAAACCACAAAATGTCTTTTGACATACGTTATAATCTTCGCTATCAGTCGAATCAATATGGAATACAGGACAGTACAGTAAGAGGTGAAGTAAGCCTTGGATAATACTAAATTATTCATCAGTATAAGTAAATTGCTTAAATTTCGCTTACCTTACGTAGATGTGATGGCCTCCTTGGAAGAAATACATTTTGATTGAGGGGCATTAATGGTACCAATTCTGACTGTGATGGGAAGAACTGATTTCTAGAGAGTCGAGGTTTTTGAATATTTCTGGTGTCTGCTTCACAGCTATGATCATCAGCAGGAGAAGCTACATGAGATCTGTTTGATGATAATCTTGTGAATACAGCTTCCGGATAACCTTTAGTCAGTGAAAATGCAGGTTGTCTAGCATAGAAAAGCTGACAGTTTCCTCTAGGTCCAAATGATCTTAATCCGTAAGGACGTCTATCACTGGCATATTTACTTCCTTGCACCATATTTCCACATGGACCAGTTACATGTACTGCCTCGAAACCTTTATCCCCTTGAACTATGTCAAACTCAACTTCTTCACCGTCACCAAGTGATCTTTGCCACTTGTTAGGATTATTTTTCAATATTGCACTCTTGACAGAAAAATTGGATGAAAAATTCGATTTTACCTGATGTACAAATATATCCTCTTTTGTATCAAGACGATTTATAAAACCATAGCCACTTCTAACATTGAACCACTTAACAACACCTTTAATATTTGTCGCTATTATGATTAGGAAATGTAATCATGTTTCAATTAATAGATATACCAATTATCCTTTTATCGCTTCTAATTATTTCTCGTCGAATCATTTCTTGAAGATTTTCAAGTAATAAATAATGTCAAACATAAAATTTACGTTGTACTAGAGTAACTAAAGGAACTGTGTTGTTGATTAACTTGAACTGAATAGTCAATATCTCATTGATTAGATAATCAATTTAGTATACTTTTCACGCTAAAATTAACTATTAAGGCGACAGTAGCATTTATCACCAGTTACCTATCTAAGATATTTCAGTTGAATAGAAATTAATCAGTGTTTTTTAAAGCAAATGTTTAAGTATTTATTTAAGCATAGAATTTCATTAAACTCTTTAGAAAGCATAACCAGTGACATTTTTGAGGTAATTGAAACAATATCTTATTCCGAATTTTCTAAACCTGTTGTCTCCTGACAGAAATATTGCCTCAACTACTGTACTAACTAATTTATCTGTGCTTTACTGTTATTTATACTTTGGAAGCACTTTAGATATGCATAATAGTGATATTTTAGCATTTAAGAAAAGACGTTTCGTAGAAAATTCCTGTTTCCTAGTTACATGAAAGTAAACACACAACTCTAAATTCCAGTCTGTACTCATGGGTCTCCCTATATTTTATCGTCAGGTTAGTGGTGTTTTTAGAAATTTAAAACAAACAGTTTATTATTCTTGTTGTCTATATTTTGTCCTAGTTACATAAAGGAAGATCCAGTAGTTAGTATGTTGTTCCATTTGAACGAATAATTCTTCATGAATGTCGATCCGAAGTAGTCCTTTGTGTAGTTGTGTATGACTGTTGTGGCTGATATTTTCCCTAATTTCTTCATCTTACTTGGGTAAATAAATCTAAACTTGGCTAAATCTAGTATATCTAATGAACCTGGAGTTATAGCTAAGGCTATGCATTCAGTAGAAAGAATTATTTTGCTTAATTGACTCTACGAAGTTATCTCACTGTTATAACATCACACATAAACATGTAGGTCATAAAGCATTTCTATTTGGTGAGTTTATTCCTCCAGTAATATAAATACATTTAAATGCATCATAGTGTTTAATACTTTCCTATAATTTCGGTGAGTTTTGGTGAAAGTGGTCACAGGAATATGATAAAATTTATGTCATTCCACTTTTAATATATGCGTAGTAAGAAGTATCAATAATAAAAGAAATCAATTAAAAGAGTACAAAGAAACTAAAAAAAAAATTGACAGTTTGAATGTAGTATCACTTATATGAAGGTGAAACGGCAACCAATTGGATCTAGGTGAAAGAGAGATATTTACTAGTATACCCAAACAGGAGAACTAAGTGGGAGGAATTATCCGTGAGATTATTAAAAGAGTACTATGCCGTTAGAGAGCGCAAATGGCAAGTATGTTTCAAACAACGTCTCTTCTTTTATAAATCTACAAATTCTCCTCTTGGAACTGTCAGCAGAACAGTCTGAAATTGTGATACGTTTTAGAGGCCTACAGAACAAACGTAAATTTTCTCTTTCAATGCGTAAAATCACTAAGCTATTTTTGTAAGCAAGCAATTTAGTGAAAACAGATTATTTGTGTCCTTAGTCAGATAAAAGAATAAACGTGTGTGGATTTTGAAGCTCTGTGAACTTTGAAATCATCCCAGTTGATTAACAATTTTTTTGAAAACTACTACAAGAAATAGATGGACAATACAGTTGTCATCATCACATATTTGATTTTCAAAGAGTATTGAAGATGTTTAATGATTAGCATCTGTCTATTAAATTCGCTCTCGAAAAGAAAGGGATTCTAAAATTCCATTTTTTGATATGCTAATAAAAAGGGGACTTGATGGATCACTAGATCTATCAGTCTACAGAAAATCTACGTGAGGTTGGTAGCTGACGAATTTCCATAGCTTTGTTCGTATAGAACGGAAAAGAAATTCGATTCTTTCTATGTCATAATGCATCCAAAAGATCCGCACAGAAGACAGCATATAAGATTAGCTACAACTATTGAAACAACCATGTTAAGAATGAAGAATGGCATTAATTTAGAATTTAGACGTGTTTTAGACGAAGTCCTAATGAGCCGTATAACAAGGTCACTAAGAGAAACATTTTAGGGTACTTCTCTAACAGTAATCTATTCCAGTCATCCCTTGGTCCATTTTAATGCCACAAAAATGTAGCGTTGGTTACCCTATTTAATATGCATTTGCATGTTCATCTGCTGTTATGGGACTGGGTACATGAGACTTCTTTTGAGAAGAATTTTTCCTCTGGTTTGAGAGCACCTCCCAGTGTAGCTGAGCAAAGGGTGAAAGTAAAAGCCTAGATTCGTCAATCCTGAAACATATATTCGACCACAAACATGCAGCCTGTAACTCATCATTTAACATTACTTACAAACTTAAATCAATCTTGTCAAAAAGTGCATGCATGCATCTACTATGTATCGTAGAAGCCTTTGAAGTATACAGCCTTAAAGTAGATTTGTGTGGAGAAAGAGTTTGTACGATCCTTTTCATTACCCTGCGTTTAGCTAACAGTTTCGACCACGTTTCATACAACTAACTCTTCGTTATTTTTATTCCACTCTATTTGAATCTCTGTTATTTTGTCACAGAAGTTTTATCTCTCTTGATCCGTGTCATATAAAGTTTTGTCCGATTGATATTCATATTTACTATTTCACATATTAATCAATAAAAAATAAACCCACATCGTGTTCATTCACTCATTCATCTAATATCTTGCAACTTTGACTTTCATTATTCTATATTTTCTACGGTTATGGTTAATTACTTAGTTGTGACTAGCTTAGGAATCCAGGACTCGCGTTATGTCTCATTTGGGACTCGGCAGCTGGATGATGATTCCCGAAATATGATTCCCACTCATACTAATATACCTTAAGATTCCACTTGTTACGAAAATGAAACATACGCAGATTTGTTATTGTAAATACGACTGTAAAGCTTTTAAAAAGGAAAACGTCGCAAAGAGAAATTTTCTTTTTTGAAATGTTTGTTTTGAACATAGGACTACAAACTCATTCGGTAAAGTATGAAACACTCCAGCATTTAGCAGTTTTGATCAACTGCTTATTGTCATAAAAGTGAGAATTGGTTCATGTTTTGATTCAAGTAAATGTCTAGCTTAAATCAGGCTTAAATAAGTATTATAACAACCACTTCATTCCTTCTTTGTCACAAACCATTAAAAAAAGCAGTTACCGCTGATTAGCCAGAATGCATTGCTGAAATGTTTGACTGCTCCATCCCTCCAGCTAGTCACCAGTATGCTAGTGGTCAGTGGGCATTTATTAGAACAGGGCTTTATTGATTCTTGGTGTTTGCCTCTGCTTCCGTAGGAATCGTGATGATAAAACTAAACAGGTTTTGCACCTTACCACTTCACCACTTATACCTGGAACTTCAGGGTTAACAAAAGCATAAGGTAGCTTACTACTGAGTACTGACTAAAGTGTAGGACTGCTGTTCTACAGTTTGAAATGGTCAGTCAATCAGTTACTACTAACACGAGACCAGAAATTAATTCGTAATGGTTCCTGTTGCCACATCTCATATCACGACATGAAGGTAGAAGGTGCCCGGGTGAAAGACACAGAAATAAAGAAAAGTCAAGGCGGTAGAAAAAAAATCAAAACAGGGTAAATAGGAATGAGAGGAACATTAAAGTTCAGTATGAACATTGAGGTAGAAATAGTGTGTGAATGCATCTAAGCCACTGCGATCAATCCTAAGCCATTTCATTGTCTCCAAACATGGACTGAGATTATGACGAAAACCACAACTAGGTAGTCTTCACTTCCATAAACAGTTAACACCAATAGTCAGAGACTTCATGGACTGATGCTACGTCTTGGTTTAGTAGTCTAAATTTAAACTCAATACTCATGAAGGTATAAGCTCAGTCGAACATTTGAACTCTAGGAAGAAGTTTAATCGGTAATCATGAAATTCAGCAAATGTGCTTCAGATTTATCTCTAGCTAACCTGTTTTGACTTTAGGTACTCCAATTTACAGTAACAGTAGTTTCTTTCTGTATTGTATATAACTATGTTTAACTGGGTGAACTGCTTCAGCTTATTCAAGCAAAACCTTAATCGAGATTATAAGCATCCAGACCTTAGTTATTACTAATGTCCTGGAAGAAGTTGAGCACTGAGTCTAAGTGAATCCCTTTGAGAATATATTTTAATTTAATCCCGGCGTGTTTAGGAAATCAAAACAAGATATTTCTGAACGTTTCGCTTTATAAGCTACAGCTTCTTCAGAAAAACATTCCGATTTTTATCAACATCAAAATATATCATCAAATAATACATCAAATATTTTATGAAAGTAGATTTGTGTCTAGCCTCGGTAACTAAGATTAGCCATCTGAAGTTCATGCTTCTTATTGTCATTTGTCAACGAATACGTAGAATAGTCAGTGTGTTTATGTTCGCGGACAAGTCTATTCTTTCTTTTCTGTTTATAACATTTGATGTTGTTAAAATGTATAGGACGTTGGAAGTTAATCTTTCTTTGTGCGAATGAAAACTGTTTTCCCAATATGTCTACATTCTCAAAGTTAATCATCCTTCCACCTTCGATTTCATGCAAAGGTATTGTTGATCGTGTTTCTAAATTTTTTAATTCCTCTTGGTTCCTCGGTGGATGTTTCATACATAACTTGCTTTCTTTCATCCTAACTTCTAAGGGTCTACAAAATTAAATGTTTGGAATGTGAGGCTAATTATGTTGGAGAAAGTTGTAGACACACACTTTGATTATCCTAAATATTCTTTCGCAAATGACGATAAAAAGCATGAACTTCAAATGACTAATCTCAGTTATTCAGGTTAGACACAAAAAATCACCCAACCAATAATCTACTTCCACTAAATATTCGATGTATTACTTGACAATATATTTTGATGTTAATAAAAATCAGAATGTTTTTTAAAGAAGCCGTACCTTATACAACGAAACGTTCAGAAAAATCTTGTTTTCATTTTCTTAAACACTCTGGAATTATATTAAAATATATTCTTATAATAAATCCCTAATTGTTTCACTTCGATGACGATGATGTCATTTTAAAGTGGAAACTATGTATTTCTTTATCATTCATGAAGTGATAATTTACGTTTGGT